ACACACACACACACACACACACACACACACACACACACACACACACACACACAATTGGGTTGGGCAATATTGGCAAAAAAAATTAGCCGATAACGATTAATATAATGATTAATCCCCTAGAGTCCCTGGATGCCTGCATATGACCAATTTAAATCACTCTAGTGGGAAAGATTTGCTCTCCATAAAAAATCTGTTCCATATTGTGTGGCAAAAGCACAGACTTCAGACATCAGTTTTTAAATTGTGTTGATAGACTAAGTAAAACTGGATGATAAACAAATTACTGAACTTTTTTTAAAAAATGTTTGTCCTGTTTGAAACAGAAAGGAGCATTGAGCGGACTGACTGGGGAAATCTCCAGTCAGTCTGTCTGGCGGCATTAATCATATTAATCATGAAGTGCCAAAAAGTAATTGATTAAAGTTTTTCTGATGATTAATTGCACATGATCCGATTTAATCCAACCCAAACACACAATATGTCAACCACAAAATGACAACCGGAAATCTGAGACACGTTGTTCTATTTGGTCCATTTAACCAGTATGAATGCTGAGAGTGTGAGATGGTTGTGAGGAAGTCATCAAAAACAGTGGAGGCTAAGAGAGGGTGATGTCATGTACAATAAACACAATGAATACAATAAATAAAGTGGAGCTGAACAGTTGCAGTTTTCCTCTTTATATCTCTTCTTTTAGCCTACTCAATAACTCTGACCTTTGGTCTCCTGCCTTCCACGCCTTTGCCAAACTTCAATATCCTGGGCCTCAGTTAGTAATTACTCTAAAAGCCAGCAAGCATTAAATCTGAAGCGCTTTCTTCATGTGAAAGCACTTGGCACCTTGTGAAAGTTGACAGGAAGTTTTCTCAAAGGATTGATGAGCAAGTACAAAACATTAAACTCTTTAAACAATAATTAAATAAGTAAATCCCTTTAAAAACAAAACATTTTCACTAAAGATTATTTGTGATCTGTCAGGGCACCTGGAGAAAACATCGTTTTGACTAAAAACTCTCTTTATAATACATATAGGCAAGTCTTCACTGAAAACTTGTTTTTTTGAATTCTTCATACTAATCAGGTTTTTTTAATTATGTATCTATTGACACTAAGTCTTGAACAAGTATTTAAATCTTCCTACTGCTAACAGTTAAAACGCTGCACACCTATAAAAATAAATAAGCACTAAATACAAAATGGGAATCGTTTTGCAGTAATATTAAACTCAGCATTGTGTTGTATGTATGTTAGCATAACCTACTTTATAAGAGCATGCTACAGTGTCTCTGTTACCTTCATCCTACAGGGACAACGATGAGCTTTTCATTTTTTGTTCACGTGAAGAAAATTTGTGCTAATTAGCCACGGGCTATAACCTTACACCTAACTGTTACAGCTGACATAAAATTACAAATTTTAAGTTTTAGAAAGTACTTAGTGACCCTCTTACCAACCAATCAAAAAGGACTTGATTGAGACTCTGATCCCATACTTGAAGCTGCACTGAGAAATCCCTAATTTTTAATCAAGGCCCATTATGCAACATGACGTCAAAAATCACTGCCATAATCTTTTATTTTAATTGCATTAAATGATTGAACCTAGGTGTGTTACCACAGGACAATGTCAATGTAGCCTGTTGAGTAGAGAGAAACTGGTATCTGTGACAAGACTTCTTGTTTTGTGTTTCAAAAAGCCCAAAGAAAAAATAATAATCAGTACTATTAAAGAATTCACTACTGAAATAAAAAAAAAAACTTACGGTAAGTCACAAAAGTGTTATCAATTGTTTAGGTTTCATAAATAGCCAGCTTTATGCAACTTGCCCAACAACTGGATGTAAAACTATTTTATAAATGTAAAGCAACTCTTAATATTATAAACATTCTTTGCAACAAGTGAAACAAGACAAAAAAATTATTTAAAAAAAGGTAACCCTTAATGAACAAACTTAGCTTCACCTGAATCTGAAGCCCTTCTTAGCAACAAACAGCAGCTTTTAGCACAGTGGATATCTGCAAATGTTTTTTTAAAAAGTTCAACATCACACTCGGATGTTCTGCTATTATTGTTGCTTTAGATCAATGAAAAGTTTGTGATCCTAAGCTACTAATTAAAATATACTGTGTACACAGTGTGATCTGTGTACACCAGTCTGTCTAAAGTTTAAGCAAAGCCGGTCAAACAGGAAAATATGGACAAAATTGAAACATTTTTACTTTGTTGAGTTAACCATTACTATTTCAAGAACGTTTTAAACAGTTGTGCTGTGGTAGTAATGCATAAGATAGAGCTGGTCAAAAATTAAGAAACTATGTTGTAACAGATATAAGTATAAAAGAAATAGAGGGTGAGGGTTAAAATATACATATTAAAATACCAACATGAGTTTTAGATTAACAAACTTGCACCAAATTTTATTCTTTACAGCTAACTGCCCAGGGCTTATTTGCAAGTCACTGGCCGTGGGAGACTGACAAAACAATGTCACCACAACAAACTTCCTCTTTTCAGCTACATAGAAACACCCGTGTTGGTGACATCTTATGACACTGGTGTCACAGAAACAGCTCGTGAGAACTTCTGCTACACCCAAAAAATGAGGTTTCTGAGCAATGCAGCAAGAAGTGCAAGTGCTGCTGCTCTAACACCCTTCTATGGACACCAATAAAGGATGCGGGTGTTGGGTGCAGAAGGGGCTGTCAGTCAGGCAGGGGTCCCTGGGGTGAACAGAAGGCAGGCGGTGGTGTCGCTCAGCCATGATCAGAGCACAATGACCAGGGCCTGACCCTTCAGGCCAACCATCACGCACATGCCAGCAACCATGACACTCACAGGGTGGGGGCTTGGCCCTGACAGGAAGTTAAGTGGACTATAGATACATGCATCTAATTTATAT